GGGGGGCCCTCGCGGCGCTCAGCGCGGTGACTGCGGCCCCCAGTCCTGCAGGCCAGCAGGGAGGACGCGACGGCGCTGCAGTGCAAGGTGGTCTGCCTCATCCAGAGCGGCAGCTTCAAGGAGGCCCTGGGCGTCATCAACGCGCACGCCAAGGTGCTCACCAGGTGAGCGGGGCGCGGGGAGGCTGCGGGCGGCCCGGGGACCCGCCACCGCCGCCTTCGGCACCCCCAGCCGGCGGCGGGACCGGCTCCCGTTAGCGATCCCCTCCTCGTGGTGGCGAGGATGAAGATTTAACGCCTGGTAGCAGCGCGGCAGCAAAACTGGTGCATTTCGGGGCTCCGGGCTTGCGTTCGGGTCAAGAAACCAAAAGCGCAGAAAATGCTTTGTGCTGTTTTGGAGTGTTGGAACGCTTCCTTGCTTGTATTCACACCTGGGGCTGCAAATGGTTAAACGTTAGCTTGTTCAAAGGCTTCTTTCCTGGGAGGAAAGGGGCTTTTTAAGGTGTGCTGGGAAGGAAGAGCAATTTCTCTTGAGGGAATTGCTTACTGCGTTTCCCGTGGATCGAGCAGTGACTCGGGGCTAGCTGGAGCATTGCTTGGGGGACTGCGGTCGCTCGACAGCAGTTCTGTGCTGCTGTGAATTTGGCTTCGAAGCCGGTTTCGTGATTATATCAGCAAGTCCTTTCGCTTCAGTTCCACAGACTTACACTGACGTTTCAAAATAGGTTAATATTGTCGTTAGCTAAATATCAGCCCGTCAGACTGCATTTTATCCTGTTTCCTTCTGTCTCTGTGAGATATGATTCCATGTGTTGGAAAGTTTGCGGTAACAACCTTTTGTTGCAGCAATGCACCTTCTCCTTAAGGAGCCAGGCCAGGAAGTTTGCTAACATGCAGCTTTTTAAAAGGCCCCCTGGATTCACGTAATCAGTAGGAGGTCTGGGAAATTTCTGCCTGTGTAAAGAGCAGCCTTAAAATGCTGGATTTCTGGAAAGAGACCAGAAAAAGGAACCTCCTCTTAAGCTGGGCTTCTAATATTTCTTCTCTGTTAGCACAAAGCAAATGCAGGGTGTTTTCAGTGCTCAGCAGATGAATAATTTGGTATTTGTGAGTCGGTCACGGGATTCGGGGAACGCGGCGGGTTTGTAGCTGCTCAGGGCGGCCCGGGCAGGCGCGTTCAGTGGGCTAACGCTGCGGAATGAGACCCGGCGGGCCCGTCCCCAGCCCCGTGCTGTCCCTGCAGTGACGTTATTGCCTTCGAGAAGGCCTACTGCGAGTACCGGCTGACCCGCATCGAGAACGCCCTGCGGACCATCCAGAGCGCCAGCCAGCAGACGGACAAGCTGAAGGAACTTTACGGGAAGGTGGTGAGTACAAGGGTCTCCTCCTCACGCCGGTCTCCTGGGCTGGTTGTCCTCTCCGGGCTCTTAGGTGGGGCAGCCGCGGGGCAGGATTTCGCCCTCTCCTGGAGGTGCTGCCAAACGAGGAGCTGTTCCCCGTGGCCACGAAAGCGAAGCAGCATGTTCATGGCTTCCTCTGCTTCCAGGTCCGGCCTGGTCTGGTTTCACATGCCCTGTTACTGCCAGGGCACGGGTAGGAGGGAGGCTGTAGTTGTTGGCACGCGCAGGGGAGTCATTGCAAGGACTGATCCCGATTTCCACAGCTGTACAGGTTGGAGCGCTACGACGACTGTCTAGCCACCTACCGGGATCTCATCCGCAACTCCCAGGATGAGTACGAGGAGGAGAGAAAAACCAACCTTTCCGCTGTCGTGGCAGCGCAGAGCACGTGGGAGAGGGTGGTGCCTGTAAGTGTGTCCTCGTACACCCGTGAGAACGGGAGCCAGGAGAATAACATGCCCGGAGTCCCCCTCTGTCAGAGGCCTTGGATCTGTTGCTTGTCAAGTCTGTAAAGACCATCTGGAGTCCATGCTGTGCTACGTCTGTTTTCCATGCTAGGAAGATCTGGGCCTTCGAGAAGCTACCTACGAGCTGTGTTATAACAGTGCGTGCGCGTTGATCGGACAGGGAAAGCTGAACGAAGCAATGAAGAAGCTACAGAAAGCAGAAGGTAAAAGCGTGGTGAGGCTGGAAGCTCTAGGGGCGTTTATCAGTAATCTTGTTCTTTACGCACACGCTTTGAGGAAGAATGAAGCTTTGGCTCAATTTAAAAATGACCAAAAGCAGCATTTGCGTAGATACATGCGATCCATATCTGTTCCCACGCGCCTCTTGACTGTTTTTCCTTAAAGTCTTCTAAATCGGGTTCTTTTTTTCTCCTTCCCCTTCTAGGGCTGTGCCGTCAGTCGCTCTCGGAGGACTCTGTAAGTCCTTGGTGTCCCAAAAAGCATTTGCTCTGTGGAGCCGCCCACGCTGCAGATGCACCTGCTGGGCAGGAGGTTCTTGCTACCCAAGAATGCTCAGGGGCAAAATGGTGAAGCCAGGGAAAAAGATGTGAGATTGCTTGTCCCATTTGCTTTTCTTTTTGTTTTTCTTCCTTAATTTCCCTTCAGGATGTGACCGAGGAAGACATTGAGGCTGAGCTGGCCATTATCCATGGGCAGATGGCCTACATCATGCAGCTGCAGGGTCGCACTGAGGATGCTCTGCAGCTCTACAATCAGATAATCAAGTTGAAGTAGGGGCTTTTCTAAAACAGATGCTGGCTCTTCCAGCTGTAGAGAGACCCGTGCTTTACAGCAATGCGCCACCTTCTTTCTTTTCAATCTGCAGGCCAACAGACGTAGGACTGCTTGCTGTCATTGCAAATAACATCATCACAATTAACAAGGTATAGAATTAATTACTTGGCTGTTCTCAGTGTGGATCTTCCTGGGAATTACTCAGCCTGTTTCTGTGGTTCTGTGAGTGGAGGGGAGACAATTGGGAAAAACTTTTTCCTACAGCAGAAGTTAAGTCACAGGTGCAGAGACCTTTCCTTGTCCAAGCGGTTGATGACAGGCAATTTCCACAGGACCAAAATGTATTTGACTCAAAGAAGAAGGTGAAGCTGACCAACGCCGAAGGGGTCGAGCACAAACTATCCAAGAAACAGCTCCAAGCAATCGAGTTCAACAAAGCCTTGCTGGCCATGTACACGAACCAGGTAGGGGAGGCTGCACC